AATTCATTTTTACAGTGGGGTCAGTCAGATTGGTTTGTTGGTCGGTCGATCAGTCTGACACATTCCCCAAAAAAAAAAAAAAAAAATGGCCAGGTAAAACAAAACTAGTTCATCGTACTTGATGATGATGATAATGATGACCAAATCACCTAGAAAATAAGTGTGAGAGAAAGACGAAAAAAAAGTGAAAACTAAATTTTGTTGTTTTTGTTTTGTATGAACAACACTGAACTGGATTCCAAGATTCACAATGGTTGTGAATATTATCATCACCATCATCATCATGAAAGAATGAAAACTTGAATTTTTCATTTTTCTCCAAACAAAAACAAAACAAAAAAACAACGAAATGTGGATGGCCGAATAGAAGGTCGACTAGTTTTTTGTTGTTGTTGTTGTTTTTTTTCGCCTCACAATCATTTTGGAAAATCATCAAACAAGAGAGAGAGAGAGAGAGAGAGAGAGACCATGAACCATCCATGAACCGACTGAATGAGCATCCAACCATCAAGTCCAAGTCAAGTCATTCATTCATTAAGGCTGGTAACCCACCACGATTACCACCATATGTGTAGATGATGATATAATATGTATGAGATGTTGTTTATCATATTGGTGAAATTCAATTCACCATAACAACAACATTGATGATTGTAGAATTTTGGTTGAGAATTGAACAAAACAAAACAAAACATAAAAAACTGAGGGAGATAGATAACGATAAAGACTCACATGATGATTCTATTGCTGGCAAAAAAAATTAATCATAGATACACCATGGTGATGGACAAATCAATCACATGATTTTTTTTCGAAATTCGTTGTTGCAAAAGAAAATTTTAAAGTTTTAAAATTTAATTTTTTAAATATTTTTATTTATTTATTCATTATTTGTATGCATATCTCTTTGTTTTTTCATTTTATTACAAATTATTATAATTAATATTTAAGAAGAAGAAGAAGAAGGAAAAAATCTGAATTTACGAAAATCCAATCGAAATTATTATTACTGTTTATAATGGTGATTGAATGATTGATGTGATCGATTGAAGAAAATTGTGGAATTTTTTGATTTTGGAAAAAAAAGTAGAAAAAGTTATTTTTTTTTTTGATTTGAATCGTTTTGTTTAGAAAAAAAGTTTTCCCAAAAAACTATAAGAAATTTGTAGAAAAATTTGTTTTTTGTTTGATGTAATTGTTTGTTATCAAAAAAAAAAAAAAAAAAATTAAAAATTTAGATGAAAAAAAAAGGAAAAACGAAAAAAACATTGAANTTTTTTTTTTTTTGATTTGAATCGTTTTGTTTAGAAAAAAAGTTTTCCCAAAAAACTATAAGAAATTTGTAGAAAAATTTGTTTTTTTTTTGATGTAATTGTTTGTTATAAAAAAAAAAAAAAAATTACAAATTTAGATGAAAAATAAAGGAAAAACGAATAGAAGATTGAAATCAAAGTGTCTCTGTGTGTTTGTGAGATAAAAAGGGTTAATTTTTGAATTTATAATTTAAAAAATTTGGAATTTGGAAGAGAATTTTTGTTTGTTTGTTTGTTCAATTAATCAATCAATCGATCACTCAAATCAATCAAAGAATAAAGTAATTTGTAATTATTATTATTATTATTATTATCAATTTGTAATTTATAAATATGTTTGTAAAAGAATATAACACAAAATAAAAAATATAAATCCAATTATATAAGAGATATTTTTATATGGAGAAAGATTGTATAATCATATATAAAGTGTGTGTTTGTGTGGGTGATGACATAAATATATTATTTTTTTCCATTATAAATTTCTCAAATAAATTATAATCAATTTTTTGGTTTTTTGGAATAATTTAAAATTCGTGTATTGTTTTCGGTTGCAATTTGTAATTGAAAAGTTTTCATATTCATTTTTGAATTTTGATGAATGATTTTTGGCACCACATATAAGAAAAAATGTCATGTTTTGCAGAGAAGAGGAAAAAATGGAATCGGAATTCGAGATGGTTGTTTCCGCAATATTGGTGCGTCTTATGTTAAATATTTTTCAAAGAAAAAAAACAGTCATTTTTCACACCTTTTTTTCCGAAAAAAAAACTACTGTGTAACAAAACGTGAAAAACACACACAGGTAATACATATTTGTAATATCAAAAATGAAAGAAAAAGAAAACGACAATAATACTTGTACTTTATATATGGCAAGTGGGTGTATGTGTGGGAGTGTGGATCAATGTTCGATATATTGAAGGATTCATATCATTTCTAAATCTATTAAGAACCAAAACAAACATGTTTGTCTATTAAATTTTCGTTTGTACTTTATGGTGACACATACAATATCATCGGTATGATCGATTAATCAAATGTTGGTTTGTTTGTTTGTTTTCATTTTTGTTTTTTGCTTATTAAGATCACTAAATTATTGTACATTGGATATTTATTTTGTCATTTGTATTACTGAGATTCTGTTTATGTAATTTGAAAGTGTGTTTAAATAAATGTGTACTTGAAATTGTACTTTGAAGAAAAAACAAACAAACAAACAATCAAAATGGAATGAGATCAAAACAAAAAAATCAAATAAAAAATATATTTCAAAAAAAAAAAATTCATAAATTCAGTGCAATATATATTCTGTGAGCTCTCTCTATAAATATTTTGTTCGTTGTCAAAAATCACCATCTTTTTTTTTGGTTTTTTCTTCATTGTCAAAAAAGATTCAATAAATTCTTTTTAAAAATATTTAGTAACAGAATTGGACCTTTTTTTCAGAAAGTGTTAATGAAGTGCCCAGCCAAAACAAATCGAAAAAAAAATTCTAATCAAGCATGATTGCCATGTGGATTCAGCATCAATTATGTGTGTATGTGGGTGGATGGTTTGAGTGTATTTTTGTCTAATAGGGGTTTCACACTAGCAGCAATGTGAATGAAATATTTCAAATGCAATATTTCACTACATTTCAGCCTTATGGGCTGAAATATTTCAAGGAAATATTTCACAGCAATATTGCTGTAGTGTGAAACCCCTATAATAATAATAATGCAATAATTAAGTATCAATGCGCAGCAATATTCAGGGATTTTTTTTTATAAAGAAAATAAAATCAATAAAACGAAACAAAAAAAGCTAATAATAATAGTAATCTATATGAATAATGAAAAAAAACGATGAACACATATGATTTGTTTTGTTTTGTTAGCATATTTCTTATATAAATTCAAAGAATTAGAAAAAAAACTTAACATCTTTGTTTCTTGATGATTTTCGGAAAGGGTTGTGCGTCTATAGTCATGTTATCCGATCACATTCAAAAAAAAAGAAGCCAGTTCTAGTTCTTTAAATGCTCGGCGTTTGACTTTCTTAATGGGCTGTTAAGTTTTGGTTGTTTGTGTGTGTGTAGGTGGATGTTATGTAAAGAATTGAACAGAAAAAATAATCATCAAATTAAAAAAAAAGAAGAGTAAAATTAATAAAGATTCTTTGTAATATTTTGTAATGAACCAAGGCAGAGAAAAAAACAGATAAAAAAATATTTTAAAAGCAAAAAAAGAAAAAAAATCTCATTAAATTATCAATTAATCTGAAACATTTTTGGAACAGAACAGAAACAATAAGAAAAACACACACACACACACACACACACCGCACACAAACAACATTCGATAATCATCATAAGTAATAATCAATCAATCAAAAAAAAAGATAGATTTTTTAAATTAAAAAAAAAAAGAAATTCTGGTGATGTTTGAACACGATATTTTTGTTTGACAATTTCAAAATAATATTTAAAAAAAACGAAAAGAAACAAAAAATAAATGTAAATTCTGTTATGTAATAATCAATTAAATTTAAATATATATTTTTCTTCATAAAAAAAAACTCATTTTAAATTATATTTATCATCAGTGTTTATATGTAAAATAGCTGGCTGGAAACTATATGTTAATTCTATGAAATAAAAGAAATATGACGATATGTTTTTTTTTTAAATGTAAAGAATCTGTGTTTTTATATATGAAATTTTGAATATAAGTAGATCAAATATATATGTGGTTTCCAAAGAACAAAAAAGAAAGAAAGAAGTATTGGCAGTTTTCAGTGAATTTGAATCTTTTAAATTGAAACAAGAAAAAAAAACGTTTGACATAAACACAAACACATACATCTATATATATATTGATTATATGATTGAAGATGAACCAATACCGGATAATGATGATGGTGATGCTGATACGGATGCTAATGATAAATGATTATGATTATTTGGAATATTTGATTCTAAACTTGATCGACGTTGATCCATATTATTATTATTATTTGTAATCATCATTAATGATGTTTCAATGTTATTATTATTATTATTGCTGATCAAAAATGAATTATCATTATTATAATCATCAATTAATTGAAATGAACCCGTTCTTGTTGATGATGTTGTTGATGATTCATTTGATGATGATGGCCACATTGATGATAATGAATTATAAACATTATTCTTATTATTATTATGAATAGATAATAAATGATCAAATGATGTTGGTGAATCCCCTAAACCTTCATCAATATCATAAGATCCATTACTTGTCTGGCCAGATGTTAATGAATTCGGTGGTGATGCTGATAATGATGAATGATGATGAGGATCATTCATATGAAATATTGAACAAAGTTCTTTAAATGTTTGACTTTTCAATGATGGTTGCTGTTGTTGTTGATGTATTAATGAATTATTATTACCCATCAATTTGGTGGTCATTGATGGTGAATGATTCAAAAATGATGATTTTGTCGTAGACGTTGTTGTTGTTGTTGATGCAGCAGCAGCAGATGATGATGACAGGAAGAAATCATTACATTTATTATTCGTTAAGCAAGAAATGAATAGATTATCGAATGAAGAAAGTAATGGTGAATTGGAAAAATCTGAGCCTGTTCCAGTTGTTGTACTTTCATCGGGTGTACCGATGGATCCGGCTTGTGAATCGATTATACCACCAGTTCGAAAAGCAATATGAGCTTCAATTTCTTTACGTGCAGTATCAACATCATCGGATAATCCGGTTACCTCAAATACCGGATCTTTTTCTCTTGATGGTGTTATTATATAAGTATTTGTTTGCTGTTGTATACGTTTGATTGTTGCCCCTTTTGGTCCGACAACCAGACCAACAACACGATATGGTACACGTACCTGTATAGTAATATGACCAGGTAGATGTGCATTTGGTGCTGGTCCCATATTACCCGGATTATTTTTACGTTGTGCACGTATCTGGCTAAAATGTTCAGCAGCTGATAATATTTCACGTTTTGCAGCATTAACATCTTCTTTACGTCCAGTAACAACAAACACTGGTTCTTCATTACGTACCGGTGTTTTTATATAAGTATTTGTTTTTGCACGCAATGCTTTTATTTTACAACCTATATTTTTATTTTCATTTTAATATGATCAAAAAAATAAAAAAATAAACAAACAAAGAATATTATAGATCACATTAAATGTATTTTTAAAATAAATAGATTCATCTAAAAGCTAATTTAATTAATAAAAAAAAACTAAAACAAAAATCCAGATGTTTTAAGAGTAGAAAAAAAATGGAAATGGAAATGATATGACAAAAACACACAAAGAATAAAAAAAAACAAACCTTGACGACCAACAATTTCAGCCACATGTTCTGATGATGGTACTGGAACACATTCGGTTGTATTCTGGCTACGTTTCATTGTCATTGCTGTTGCTGATGTTGTTGTTGATACAGGGGTTGCATTTGCAATAGCCGCTTTAAGCATCATTTGATGATCATTATTTTGATGATGATTATTATTATTATTACCATTAATATTATTTAATGCATTTAATAATGAATTAACTGTTGATGATCGTAATTGATTCATATTATTCGATTGTTGTTGTTGTTGTTGATCAGACATTTGTAACCATTGATTAAATTCATTTGAAAAATCATTTGTTGTACAATCATCATTAATGGAAAATGTTCGACGTTGTTGTTGTTGTTGTTGAAGATCATTATTATTATTGTGGCCGATTGTTGTTTCAAAGAAACCACCATTCACATTATTATTATTTCCAATCATTGTCGATGTTGATGATATTATATCGGCAAAATCGCATAAAAGATTAGCCGGCATTTTTGTTGTTTTAGTTCAAAATGTACGTATTATTCAATATAAGGTTATCAATTCTCATTAACAAGAAAAAAAGATTTTTGTTTTTTTTTGTACTTTAAGATTTTTTTTTGTAATTCTTCAAGTTGTACAATAGAGTTAATTGGATGGATTCAAATAATAGAATCCCCTGATATATTCAATTCATTATCTTTCGAAAAAAATCGTATCTGGGTTCGTTTTTTTTTCTTGCGATGATGAAATACTTTGCTTTGGAGATGATACGCAGAACGAACAATGCCAGTTTTTTCAATAAACTTTCAATAAAAACATTTATATTAAAAAAAACGATGCAAATGAAACAAAACACCAAAAAAAAAACACTATCGAGAATTTCGTTGTCGAATAAACAAAATGATTATATCATAATGAAAATTATATAAAATAACCAAAATGGATAAATGGTTTAACAGCACACATCAACCGTCGATTCAAAACAATCAAACAACCAGAAAAAAATTTGGAATATAAAAAAAATTAAACAAAATATATAAAAAAAAAACAACAAACAACGATGACAACGAAACGAGATGATGTGAAAATGAAATCCGACAAAACTTAAAACCAAACTAAACAACGAATATCATTCACACATCAAAGAAGCAAGAAAGCAAACACTGGCAGACAACAGAAGATAAAAAAACAGATCGAACACAATTGAAACTTTTTTTTTTGTTTGTTTGTTTGTTTGTAAAACCGAAAATGCCGTGTGCGTTTATACGCAATGCGCGTGTTTTTTTTTGCATTTTGTGCTATGGCAGACATCAACGTTATTTTGATGTAAAAGCCCGCGCGCACAAATAGTAGCAGTATGAATTTTTTTTTTTGTTGCTAGCAGTATTATTCTATATTCGCTTTTTTTGTTAGATTTTGTCCACTTCCTCATTTTGTATGTCCTCATTATTCCATTTCTTTTGTCTCATATTAGCAGTGTGGTGGTAGATGGGTGGGTGGTTTGTACCCTCCTCCTCCTCTTTTCGCTTTTTCCATTCAAATAAATGCTACTACTATTCGAATATTAAGAATTTGTGTAACAAAAAAAAGGTGAGATTTCTTTTTGGAATTTTTTATTTTTGGATCCAAAATGGAAAGACATTTTTTTTTTAATTTGAGACCAGATAAAAGGCAATGCCCAGAAACCAAACAACAAGAAAAACTTTATTACCGGTTCCGGTTTTTTATCAAATTCTATTAGCTGAAACAAAAAACCCTCGGTCGAGAAACAAAACAAAAAAACTGAATATCATGTTATGTAATCAAAATTTGATAAGATTTTATGTTTGAAAAACGTTAAAATTAATGAACAAGAAATGAAAAACCAAATGGTTTTTCTATCAACCGGATTTTTTTTTCTCTCCTCTTGCATGCACGAAAATCTGTATTTGTTTTCAATGGTGACCTATAGACCTACACACACAAATGCAGACAAACATGATGATAATGAATGAATGTGTGGGTTCATGTCCTTGTTCTTATCTTATCTACGAATTTATTTTCTTCTTCTTCATTATCGTTGTTGTCAACAACAGAATCATTTTTCCAAGAAACAAAAACCAAAACAAACAAAAAAAAACTTGTCATTGATAAAAATCCAATGAATTCCATTCAGAAAATTCAAATCGAATCAATATTTAACACAACCACCATAAACATGAAATTCCTGCCTCGGGTTCAATTTCGATTCGATCCGATCATATTGATCGATACACACGTGTTCGATCATTTTTATTGGATTTTCTTTTTCAAATGTGCTAATTGTATTTATATGTTTTTTTCCTTCTCCGTTGTTGTTGCTGATAATGATGATGATATTTTGATCCTATTTTCCTATCTCTACCCACCACCGCCAACCACCAAGCTTGTTGCTGTGCATGAATATTTTCAAGTGTTTTTATTTACTTATATTTTTTTCATCGTGATTTGTTTCATTTCACCGAAGAATTTCTGTTTCTTTCAAGAAAGAAAAGAAAATAATATTCACACACACACACGGTGTTATAAAAAAAAAGATCGATCCATTTTCTTGCAAAAAGAAATGCAACAACAACAACAACAACCAAAAAAATCAAGTTAAGAAATATTTCATTTTCTCAACAACAACAAAACAAAACAATCGATGACCTATGGCTATGAATTTTTGGCCTTGAACCTTGTTGTTGTTGTTGTTGTAAAGAATATACCCAGTAGCCAATGATGATGATTGAAAATTTTTCTTTATAAAAAAAAATTTCTTTAAATTTTTTTTTTCGGTCCACATACGGACACGGACAATGAAATTTAAATCGTTTATTTGGACAGCCGAAAAATGTCCCACCACCACCACTATTTTGGGATGATGATGATTGAATATAATGAATGAAAAACATGTGGCCAAACGTTTGTATTGTAGCCTGAAGAAATATTTACAATAATTTGAACAATGGATCCATCATTATCTTAAACATTATGCACTTGGATGGCAACAAGTATTTCATTTTTGTTTCTTTTGGTATGAATAGTGGAGGGCGGGGGTGGATCGATTGGACCTGGGATAGTCCGGCCTAGCTTGCTTGATGATTGAGAACATGCGTGATTCGAAAAAATTCAAACAATCAAAAAACAAAAAAAAATATTCGAATGTTCATGATGATCAATTTTTGTTGTTGTTGTTTTCATGGTATCCCATCCGAACAAGATCAAGACATCGAAATTATTTGGTTAAATAGCAACAGAAGAAATTCAAAACATATAATTCAATGATGATGAACTTTGAGCTTTTTTTTTTGTTACTCTCGCTGAGATGTGTTGTTTTGATCATCATGGTGATGATCATCATCATCACATTAATAATGATTGATATATACTGTACGATGGTAGTTATGGATTCATCATCATATTTCATATTTGATTGTTGTGACCTTAGTTGATGTATCCCGATTTGAACATATAAATTTTGATTATTGGATTCGAAAAGTTGAAGGTTAATTTTTCGAATAAAATAAAATAATTTCGTTGATTCAATGTTTGGCCAAATTATTATTATTATTGTTGTTGGGTAAATAAAAAATAAAATCTAGAAGCTTTTCATTTCTTATTTGATCCGATTTGTATAAAAATGTTGGAGGAGAAATTCCAAGATTTTAAAAAAAGATATTTCGATTTTTTTATCATTGTTGTTGTTGTTGGTCAGTAGTTGGTCAAATATAATGGATAATAATAATAAAAATCTAAACAATTTGATCGGTATTAGTGCAAAGGTCTAGTTGGGGGGAAAGGTGGTAGTTTTCATTTCTTAATTGATCAAGTTTTTTTGTTGTTGTTGTAAAACAATTTTGCCTACCTGCTTACCTGTTCGAAAGTGGAGGTGAAAAGAAAAAGTTTTTTTTTAATCGAAATGACCTTGGTGATTTATGGAAATTTCCTTATGATTTATTTTATTATGAAAAAGGAATAGGGATTTTGTTTTTTTGTAAATTAAAAATTAATATTTTTTCTTTTATAAATATTTTTTTTTTGATTTAAACTAAAATGGCTATGGCCATCTATTATCAATCATCGGAACTAAATTTTTTTAAAATTCAAATTATAAAATTCTCAATGAAATTTTGTTTGTTTGTTGGGTGGCATTATACAATGATGATGTGTGTGTGTGATGTTATTCATATAAAATTGAAGAAAACGTCACCAAAAAAAACTAATTATAAATCCAGTCAATTCAGATTAATCAAATGATAATTGCTTAGGTGTGTACGTATTCGTAGCATACGCGTAGTGGTATTCTCTCGAATGATTCGAATTCGAATGATATGAAAAACGTTCGAATCAAAATAAAAGAAAAAATCCATTACTAACCAACCGAATGTGTAATTAACATTTTAATTGTAATTAGCATTTGATTGCATCGATTTAAAATTAGAAAATAAGTGAATAATAGTAATAGTAATAATAAATCAATTAAAAAAACATCAAAAATAATATTAATTATCATATATAGATGTAAGTGTACATTTGTGTGTGTGTGTGTGTTTGTGTGAAACATTCTTTCTATATACAAATTGAATAAATTAATGTTTGTTTTTCTTTTCTTTTTTGCAGAGAATTTCGATGCTAACCACCAATTTTAGTTCAGACATACAGGGCGCATTCTCGAATATGCGATCCAAAAATAATAATAATGTTGATGATGATGATGATGATGATTGGAACAGTTATATTTGGAACTTTTCAATGTATGATGATGATGATGACGATGATGATGATTATGATGGCTATATAATATAAATGTAAAGTTGTGTACTGTTCCAAAATAGAAAAAGAAAAACACGATAATATTTTGGTAAGTGCAAGTTTTTTTTTGTTTGTTAATTATTCCCTTTTTTTTGATGATAATTGCTTTTTGTTTTTTTTTGTTTTGTTTCAGAAATTATCATATAGGATTTTCCAATTTTTTCTTTCCATCAACTTTTCGATTCATTCATTGATCATCATTATTATCGATGATTGTGCAAAGAAAAGTAAAAAAAAAATTGAATGAAATTGAAAACGGCTATCGATATTTTCCAATCATCGAATGTTTGAATGTGATAACTGATCGATTGATTGATGGATAGATGATCGAACGTTATCGAACGAATAAACGAAAAAAAACGAAATATGTCTGGTGTTCGAAATGCATTAAATTGTAGTTTTGTTGCATGTCGTTCGAATCTTCGAAAGGTATTTAATTTGTTTTTATTTGATTTTAAAAAAATTTCATTTTTTTCATTTTTTTGTTATTTTCTGTAAAGTGTTGGCATTTTATACTCTGTTATAAACCACAATTATTATCAACAACAAACAATCAATATCAAGTATTGTGTTTAGGTTTATCCGGTTCGGGCAAAAGTACATTACTTGCACAATTAGTTGGCGAACAAACCAATGGTATTGAACCGACAAATGGTTTTAATATAAAAACATTACCATTAAATGGTATTATATTAAGTGTTAAAGAATTGGGTGGTTCCGAACGTTTACAAACATTTTGGTCAAATTATTATGAAAATAAACATGCCCTATTATTTATTGTAAATATTGCATCAAATGAAATAATAATGCAAAAATCATTGGATACATTACGTACAATATTAATGAATCCAGGTTTACGTGGCCGACCATTAATGATTATCGGTACACATAAAGATCAACCAGAAGCTCGTACACAACAACAAATTGAACAATATTTTCAACCATTATTAAATGGTCATAAATGCAAAATATTATGCTGTTCAGCATTGGATCGTAATTCAATAATGGATGCATTTGCTGCACTTATTGTGCTAATTAAAAATGTCTTTCCGTCGTCATGAAAAAAAAATAACACAAAATATCGTCCATATGAAATCATCAATATCATTCGATTGTTGTTGCATCTATTTATTTATTTAATAATAATTTCATTGTAAAAAAAACATCAACAACAACAAATAAATTCTTTTTTTTCTCAATGTGTAAAATGTGTGTGTCTATAGATTGTTTATTTAAAAAATGGTGGATATTTCATTTCAATTTTTGGACGTATACGTTTTACATCGATCATTGCTTCTTTATGATTTTTATAAATTTTTTCCCAAAGATTTGTTTTCTTACGTCTTGCAACAAATGTATCAATTTGATTGGCAAATTTACGACGTAAACTATATGTTAATTCATCTTTTTCTCGTTGATTATCGATATTATTATCTAATGATGATCGAAGATAAGGGCGAAGATTCAATTCGGATAGATAATCATTAGTAGCTGTATTTGTTGTTATCATTTTGATTAACATATCCAATACGGCTATATTAACATTGTTGAATGATCCATTTTCGAATGAATCAAATAAACGTATATTACCACTTGACCAGCATAGATTACATACATTATTTACATTATTACCATCATCATTAATAGTAAGATCTTCATGGAAACAATGATTATTCAATTGATAAACATAAAATGACCAATCTTGTCCATTAGTAATAACAACATTTGTAACTAATGGATATGTTAATCGATCATATATTGTGAAACCAAGATTATTAGCTATACCGGTTAACCAACTGAATGCTGATGTAATTGCCATACCATCACATACATCTTGATCATCATTACATCCGGAAAGGCCATATCGTCGTTGCCGTTGTCGTAAACATTCATAATTCATTGCCATTAGATAAGGAAAATCATAACCAGCAGAACGATCAGGCCAAAAACCAGGTAATGACATAATATTATGACGACGTAACGGTATACCTAATTTTAGTAGATTATAATCGCATTTAGGTATTTCTGTTTGCGATAAAACATCATTCATCGATACGATTGGCGGCAATGGGTTCATTTTTCGAATATGAAGACTATGATTACCACGATAAGTGAATAATTGATTTATTCTTTCATTATCTTTGAACCAGCGTGCCTTTTTGAATGGTATAGGATAATCACCAAGCCACCATGATGTACTGACAAATGGATTGTAATCCAGATGATAATTGTCCAATTGTTCTGAACGGTAATGATTTTGTATCAATTGTACAACATCGGCAATAATATCATCTTCAGCCAATGATTGTACTACATTTGTTGGGCTACTTCGACCAATAGTTGTCAATTGCGTTTTACGAAAATCAGCAGATGCGATGCGAGATTTAGCCTCAAACAAACGTGCAGCAATTATGGATAGAATTTGTTGTCGTAAATGTTCAATATTATCGACATTTTGCAGATCAGTTGAACGATATGAGTCGGGCAATCCGTTGATCAAATGTGTACGAGTGATGAATTTTTGTGAGGGTAATCCATTATAGGTGGCCATAACTGGATCAATCATTAGACTTAGATGACCATAATGTTTAGTTATTTCGTAGATTTTTTGTTCAGCTGTTGGTAATCGACGGATAGCATTATACCAATCAAGCCGAATTTGCTTTTGTATTCCTTCATTTGTTGGCTGATATATTGGTGGATATTCAGGCTTTTCCGTATATTCGGCTTGTTCGATAGGCAATGTATTAATGTCGACAAAGTAACGAAATTTCCACCATGGTTTTTGTTTCTGTCGTTTACGTAATTGTGGAAGATGATCTGGTCGATAACTTATCGGTTTCGGTACGACTCGTTCATCAATATCGGCACCGGATTCAACATTGAACCAATTATTATCAGCATCATTTATTGATTGTTCATTTGATTTTTGCTGTGATTGCTGCGAATTTGAAACGGAAGATGGTAATGTTCGTATCGTACGAGAAAAATTAGCATTGATATAAGAATTTTGTGCTAAAATATAACATCGCAATAATGAATTACGATTAGCTGAAATCAACATTATTGAACAAAATTAATTTGAATTCTTTTCCCCGAACAGAATCGAATGATAACATGTGACCATTCGAGAATAATTCCGGGAAACTTGAAAATGAGCAGAAAAGTTTCGGTCAAAAATTGAAAACAAGAAAAGATCTGATTATTTTAATGAATTTTATTTAATTGAATGGAAATATTATTTTAAATTCAAATAAGAAAAATAATGACTTTGTCAGAAAAGATTTATACAATTAATTATGACAATATACATTGATTTAGTTAATATTATCAAACATAAAATTAATCATTTGATGATCATGTTGTGCCTTATTTCTTAATTGTATAATTAATCGAGCCAATTGTTCAGCGTTTACACCATAATTTAATAATTCAATTACAATCGATAATTGTTCTTCACTTAATCCAGTATTCAATAGATTAGACATCTGATTAATTGAATCGAAAAATACATCAACACTATTATTGTTTTGATGAAGATTTTCAATCGGATTCATTGATGGATCCATCATATATAAAAATGTTCTCGAAAATCAAAAATGTTAAATAAAATAATTAAAATTATAATTAAATTATGAAATGGATAAAAAAAATTTGATGGTTTATGATTAAATCTTTTGACAAAAACAAGACATTTTTTTTCGTTGATGGCTGTTGTCGTTCGACAAAACACAAAAAAACTTTCAACTAAAAAAATCCACTCCACTATAGATGGCGCTAATGTGAGATTTTGATTTTTTTCAAAAAAAAAAAATTTATTCAAAATTTACGAAATCGGTTCAATTTCATCAACACATATGGACATTATATGTTCACCAGGTACCATGGCCAGGCCAAGTAAACGAGGATCTTCATCATCATCTTCATGATTATCAAGATAAACAAACAGAGAATAACGAAAATCATTTCGAATTAATCAATAATCGACAATGAACATACAAACAAACTTACCATTAAGAAATTCAAGACTTGAACCAAGTATAATATTCTGATGACAATCAGTACAAAGAAATACGCCAACAATAATACGATTATCCGATAATTTTATACGAAAATTTTTATTCAACCATTTTTCCAGCATTATTTTGTGTTCAGATTTTTTCTCAACATTTTTTTGATTATCCTGATATGATGATACAAATTAGTATTTATGAAATTAAATAAAATGAAAGAAAAAGAAAATTCGTTATTAGTTATTTGTTGTTGTCATAATTTTACGATATAAATCTTCAGCTAATGATTTTGCTGTCGGTACAGAAACCGTAAACCAAACATTTAAATTTTTCGATTCAATTCGTTGTGCTGTTTGACGACCAAATGCTATGTATCGTAAATGAATTTTTTTAGAAAATTCATCATCATCGTTGTGAAGATATTTTTGCAGATAATCATATAGATTATCTACACCGGATGGACTAAAAAATACTACAGGCAATAAAATTTTATCCATCATCATCGTAAATGTTGTTGAAAGAAATGTTTTAAATTTTTGAAAATCATTATCAAGATTTTGATTTGCCATTGTAATGTAACAATGAATCTCTCGAACGGAAATATTATGCTTGGATAATGTTTTCATTAAAGGATCAGTTCGTATCTGACTACATGGATATAATAATGATTTTGATTTATCAAATGTTTCATATTGTTCAACAATAAATTGAGCTAAATCTTCCGAATTTCCTGTATGATATCCTTTTGAATTGATTTGTAATTTTTCCAAAAGATATGATCTTGTTGATGTTCCAACAGTAAAAAATGTTAATTTCTTTAATGAATTCATAACCGAATCGGGAATCATTTTGATCGACATGATTAGTGCATCAATACAACGTTTACTAGTCAAAATGATACCTGACCATTGATCTGATCGTGTCAGCAGTTCACCAAGTTCGACAATATTAATGAAATCGAATTGAATCGGTGAAATAAAATATGTTTGAATCGATTGACCAAATTTTCTTTTAATTTCAATCGAATATTCATTATCAGGTAAAAAATGATGATGGCAATCACTTTTTGCTAACAAAATGATTGTTTTTTCATTTTTCATAATTGTACAAACCTTTTGATCCTCATCATCCACATTAGAATCGGTGTTGTACATTTTGTGCAAATAAAATATTCATAAAAATTCCATCAAGAAAAAAATATTGATCGAAAAAAAATCAACTCGTTTAGAAGTATAAAGTGGCCCCATCTATTAATGAAATTGTATTTTCGGATGATGATGATATCACATGTATTGCGTTAAAAGTTTGGAAACGTGATGAAAATCTTCGAAACGAAAATCTTATTTTTATATTTTTTTAAAAAACTAAATTGATTTGTAATCGTTTAACAATGGATGACGAATTATCATTATCATCATCATCATCATCCTCGGGTGATGAAAATGATTATATCGAACAGGAAGAACCATTAGAATTCAATATTAAATGTTTATTTTGTGATCATTATACTTCCACACATCAAAAAATGTTTGATGAACATATCCAACCAAATCATCATATTGATTTGATTGATATTTGTCGTAAACATCATCTAGAAACATTTGATTTTATTAAACTTGTGAATTATATTCGAATCAAACAAATTTTAGCTACAAATGTTGAAACAATTATCGTTGATCGATTATTCGATAAAGATGAATACCTGAAACCAACTATGGAAGATGATAATTTTCTTATGTTTGGTTTGTTTTGATTTTTTTTTAAAATTAAAGTTTAGTTATATATTCTTAATTATAATCATAGATTATGACGGTGAAATTAATGATGGCAATGATGATGAGGATGATGATGAACAAATGAACATCATGAATATTTCAAGTGTAGAATTGAAAAATATTTGTGATAAATTATCAAAAGAAAAATTAACTAATATAATCATCGAATTGAAAGGAAAATTGAATGATGCTCAAAATGATATGAGACAGATGCGTAATCTGTTTATTGAACAACAACAATCCGATGGTGGTGATGTTATTAAAATTGAAAATAATGTTGCGAATTTGGATGAACAATCCGATAGTACTTATATGGATTCTTATTCACATTTTTCTATCCATCATACAATGTTGGCTGATAAACCGAGAACATTAGCCTATCAAGATGCTATAATTGAGAATAGTTCATTATTTATTGGCAAAACAGTATTGGATATTGGTTGTGGTACCGGTATATTATCATTGTTTGCTGCAAAAGCAGGTGCCAAATTAGTTGTCGCTGTTGATCATAGTGATATTGTTAATAATGCTCGATCAATTATCATTGAAAATGGTTATGAACAAACTATTCGTGTTGTACGTGGTAAATTAGAACGATTAGATTTTGAAAAATTATCCCTACCAACCAAATATGATATAATCATTTCCGAATGGATGGGCTATTTTCTTCTATTTGAAGGAATGCTTGATACCGTATTGTATGCACGTGATCATCTATTACAGCCACAAGGAGCCTTATTACCGAGTCGTTGTAAAATATTTTTATCCACTTTTTCCGATTGTAATTTCTATGAAAATAATATCGATTTCTGGAATGATGTATACGGTTTTGATATGTCTTCAATGATTACCGATGTTACAAAGGAAGCAACTGTCGATCTAATATCGCCGGAAAATATCTGTTCAGCAGCGGAAAAAATTTTCGATTTCGATCTGATTTCATGTCCAATAACAGATTTTGCCAACGAATTATCATCAACATTTGAATTTCATTTTAAAAATGATAAAACTATTCATGGATTTGTTGGCTGGTTTGATTGTTATTTTGATTCAATGACAAAATTGATTATATTAAGTACATCACCATTTGCTGAGCCTACACATTGGAAACAGACAATATTTCCATTAAAAGAACCGATTCTTGTTGCAGCCGGTCAATCGATACGTGGTGAAATACGAATCGGAAAAAATAGCCAAAATCCACGTGCGCTTCAAATTCGTCTTTTATTACAGCAACCAATTCTTAAACTTGTTTATAATATTTGTTAAACAGAAAATAATTTCTTTTTTCTTTAAATATCTTTTAATATTATTCAATGAAAAAAAAACAAACAAAAATCTTAATACATTATTGAATAAACCATTTTCGTTTTTGATTGATTACTGCCATATCAGAATCGTTGGTTGTCATAATGAAATTATTGCGATTTTTTTGCCGTTTTAACAAATGTTTTGTTTCGAATTCATCCGCTTCGATTGGCCGTTTAGATTTTTGTTTTTTCGCTTTTTCACTATTCGTTTTGATAATTTCATTCTTTTTCGTCAATGTTGTTTTCGTTTTCATTGATTTCAATTTTTTCTTTTGTTCCAAAATTTTTCTTCTATTCATTCTCAATTTCGGAACTTTTTCATTCTTTTCGAATGGTTTGGCTTCAACACCACCGTACGAATTTGATGAAAGTTGTTGTTCGGACGGCAATGACGATGATGAAGATTTGTTAGTTTCCTTCGCTGAACTATTCGATTGACCATTTTTCATTTTTTCCTGTTTGATTTGACGATATTTTTTCCTATTCAAAGCTACTTTATTCTCAATAGAAAATTCAACGATAGGCCTTTTATCGGCTGTAAATATTTCCGGATTATTATTCAAATATCTTAATGCATTCAATGCATGTTTATGTTGTTCAAATTCAACAAAACCAAAACCTTTAGATGAACCAAATTTTTGTTGATCCATTCGGCTACGATTACGCATTACTTTAGCCTAGAAATTTCAAAATGGATAAAAAATTATATTATACAATACAATATCGATTGATTGTGTATTACCCATAGAATGCGGGCATTTTTATCTTTGGCAGCTGTGGTGAATAATTTTCGTAATTTCATGTCATCATAATTGCCGGGTAGATTATGTATGCAAAGTCTTCGATCCGAAATAAAATAATGAAGATTCTGTAATAATTTTCGCTTCTTTTCCTCTAAAGATAGTCGTTTTTTTAGATCAGTAGCCGAAACTCCAACGGCTGCAGGTGAATCAGGATAGATTAGACCTTCTTTTGCTAGATAAAGATTTCGTTTATCTTTATGTTTATGATGATTTGCATCTCTTATCTCTTCTAATTGATTACGATTAACAGCTTTTGTGACAATCAATTGCTTTCCATCTAAATAAAATCGACTATTTTCTGGAATGTTTGATTCATTCAGACATTGTTGAGCATCATCAAGATTTTTGAATTTAATAAATGCGGATCCTTTAGATTTACCACTGTAATCATCATAACAAATGCGGCAATAGTCCACAGGACCAAACGATTTGAACACATTCTCCAGAGATTCTTCGTTCGTTTCGAGATCGATATTACGAATGAAAATAGTTTTTCCTTCATTTACATCACTTCGTACTCGACGTTTCTTCGGTCGTTCATCATCCTCATCCTCATTATCGTCATCTTCATCGTCGTTATCGTCATTGTCTTCGTCTTTATCGACATCATCGATGTTGTCATCAACAGTGTCATCATTTTTATCATCATCCGTTGGCTGGCTATCATTCGTTTGTTCTTGATTTTCTTTCTCCTGGTGTTTGACGTATAAATCCTTTGAAACGGCAAAATCAACAGCTATCGTACGATTGAAATGTTTTTTACCATTTAAAAATTTGATCGCTTTCAACGATGATCGTACATTATCGAAAGCAAGAAAAGCAAATCCTTTGATTTTTCCATTTGAATTTTTCGGCAAATTTATATCAACAATTTCACCGTATGACGAGAATAATTTACGTAAATCTTCTTCAGTCGCTTTGAATGATAAATTACGAATGATTAAACGTGATCGTTTAATATTTCGTGACAATTTATCTGGTTTCTTTTTCCCACCTATTTTTATGCAATAATTGTTTTTAATAAAATTCAAATTCAAAACAAAAACTTACCATCCATGCTTGTTAAATGATTAAATAAAATTATCCGCGTGTTTTCTATCAAACAGACTGATCTATCCACAGATGACAGGTAATAATGACACAACTTTTTTTTTTGATTTTAGGTGTAACAAAACATTTATTTTAAGAATTTTTTTTACCGAATTAATTAATCATGAGTTCAACATCAAAATATGCTAATCTACCATTCATTGCATCCGGTGAACCTGATGTATATGAAACGGATGATCTTCCCGAAGCTGATCGTATTCAACAACAACAGCAACAACCAATCCAAGATGCATCGATCGAAATTATACCATCGAATAGTGTTGATGCATTCAATAAATTTGCTGTTGCTGATTCACATCAATCATTATCTGAATCGACAAATAAATCTGAATCAAATGTTTCATTAGTTGAAAAATATAAACAAATTAAGGCTGAAATTGAAGATCTTAAACATTCGATTCAATCGAATGAAAAATCTCAATCTGACGGTGATTCATTACCTAAAGATATTGAAAATTTATTTACTAATCTGTCGAATCTACATGATGTTTGTTTCAAAAAACTTGACACATCACAATTGGTTAAAGATATTGGCCGTGTATCATTGGATAATACCGGCAATAATGAACCAATTATCTATGAATTATATCAAAAACCTGATAAAGAAGAAATTTTAGAATTGGCTCGTATCAATGCATTGGAACAACGAATGAAAAAAATCGAATCAACATTAGGCCTTAATGAAACAATCAAAGATTCATCACATCCATTACTAAACAATTATTTAAATGATCAATCAATCATGGATATTGTAATCAATTTAAGTAATAAAATTGTTCAACTTGATTATTCATCATTAGATCGTATGGATGCACGTCTTCAATTAATCATTGATAAATTGAATCAAATTCAGGATAAAAAATCCACATTAACGGAATTGGATAAAGAAGATAAATTGAATGAAATTTATAATCATTATGTAAAAATTGATCAAAATCGTCCTTTATTGCCAAACATTTTGGAACGATTACAAGTTTTGAATGATTTACAAGATCATGCTTCCAGATTTTCCAATACAATGACGGCAATGGAAACAATGCAAAATGAAATCAAAACTACATTGGATAATAATAATCAAAATCTTAAAAATCTTCAAGAAATGTTTGATAAAGTTACCAACATTCAACATGTTGTTGATGATTTTCAAAATCGTTTGGATAAGATTAAAAAATCATCATCTCAATAATTAAAAACACAGAAAAAAATCTTATAAAATTTTTATTAATGAAAATAAATAAATAATGTTCAGTAAAAAAAAAATCATTTCTTTCGTACACCTTTTCCAAACCAAGCTGGTTGCATTGTGTTTATTTTTTCGTAATCAATTTCATTTTTAAATAATTGTTCCAAACGGATTCGATTACATGTAAATTCTTCATCCGATCGTAATGGTATGGAATTTCGATGAACATAATCATCATCTTTTTCATATGGTATGACAGGTATGTTCAACATTGTCATCAATTCTGTCATGACCATATCACATTTTCCGTTGATTTTTATCGTTGCCTGTGAATCTTTTGGTGTCCATTGTAGATTTATGATAACCAATTTGTTTGTTTTCTTATTTCGTGGCCAAAGACAAGCATATTTACGTAATATTTTCAGACTACTTCCCATACAGATAATTAGATCGGCTTTTTGTGCTTCATTTGCAGCAGCTTCCCATTGTAATGGATGTTTTAGTTTACCTTTTTCACCGAAATGTACAATCGTATCAATTAATTTTCCAACATTGGAAGGGCATCGATGACATCGTCGACCGGTTTCATGTCGTCGTAGGGCAGTCTTTTCCGTCACATCGAATGAACGTATGTATGATGTTTTACAATTACGACAAACTTCTATGTACATATTACCATGAATTTCGGATAGACGATTGGCTGGTATGCCACTACGTAGATGAAGTCCATCACAATTTTGCGATACAACATGCTTGACTATATCCTGTTTCACTAATGATACAATAGCCATATGCGTGAATGTTGGTTCTGATAGAAATTAGATACCGTGATAAGGAAAACATTGAAAATTCAAATTCATTAGAATTATTTACCAGAAAAAACTAAATCATTAACATCGGGAGTGTTATGACCATTTTTGATACGAGTCCATACACCATTCGGACCACGATAATCAGGTATCGATGCTGATGTACTAATACCGGCACCCGTATAAAGAACAATATGTTTACTGGAACGAATCAGTTCGACTAATTGCGAACATTTAAATCGTAATGTATTGATATCGTCTTCAATTTCTTGTTCACGTTCTTTACGCAGACTCTGATTTTTTCGTTGCGATTGCACAAGTTTGACCAAATTCTTGTATCGTTTCAAAATATCCTTTTCATCTTTTGTTATATCCGTAGGCGTTTTCATCAAGATTTCCTGAATTCTTTTTTTTCTATGCGTAAAATTAGTTTAATGGAAAAAAATTCAAGCACAAGCAAACCAACTTACACATGTTTAAATTCTTGATCAACAAAACTTTTATGCAAAGTTTTCATTTTACATGCTCGACTAAAAGTTTCGGACATGTTTTTATAAAAAAAAATAAGATGAAAGATAAATTCCTGAATCAAGATTTAATTTGAAAACTTGATATAACGAATGAAAACATTGGATATTATTTAGCGAGTGTTTTGATCGTTATTGTAAATTATTTGTTTATCTTCTGGACAAGTTTCTCTATAGTTTCTCTTTATACAGCATTCCCGTAAAGATTTCTCGAGAATATTATTTTTGTTTTGAAAAGAAAAAAACTTGATAATTCAAATATAATCAATCAATCTTATGATTTGATCAACAGAAATTTGGATATCGACAAAGAATACAGAATTCATTAAAACAAATAGACGAAAAAAATCATTAACTTTGGCTCTTTTTTCGACATAATGATTGTCAAATGACAAAAGTTGATCGAAGATTGTCGAGCAATTTGGCTAATAAATAAGACTAATTAAATTTTTTGACAATTTTTTTATTGTTTTTTTCGAATCAAAAAAAATTGAACGATTTACATAATCATTTAGATACGGGAACGAAAATCACCCGGTGATGTGGTCGGTTTTTTCAATGTTAGACCTAAATCTTCCAACATGGCATATGTATCGGCATCAACCTCAATCAGAGCGTTTTCCAAAGCGGATACCTATTGAAAGATGAAAAATTAATAGATAAATCTTTAAGGGAAAAAATGTTTCTGCTTACCTCTGGAACATAATTGTCACGTCGTTCACGTTCCTCTTCTTGCAATTTGATTGAAATACCACGAACTGGGCCACGTTGAATACGTTTCATTAGATGAGTAACAAATCCGGCAATTTGATTTCGAAGCCGTTTACTTGGTATGATGGCAATTTCTTCACATATTCTTTTGTTGGTATGAAAATCCATCGTCAAACGTGTATAATATTTTTCGATGATTACACGTGAAGCTTTTTTGATGGTCTTAGTACGGACACGACCCTGAACAAAATTTAAAAAACAAAATAGATTAAATTCTCTTCAGCAAAAAAAAATCATTAGATTACCATTTTGTAGATTTAAATTCACAAAAAAAAATATTTCTGAAAAAAAGAATTTCGATGTCCAAACCAAAAACCACACGCGTTTAAACGCTGACGGAAAAAGGAAAAGTCTAAATGTTGATGATGCTGTTTTAGCAGCATGTATCGAAATAGACACATCGACATACACATCGTTGATATATGCCACTCCTTTTTTTCTAATTAAAGAACCATTCATAAATGATGATTCATAATTTTTCTCAAGTCAACACACTGTTATCATTAAACAATTTGGAATCAAAAAAATTTTTATTACTCGTTCCATCTTGAAATCTATCATCGTTATTGAAATAAGAAAAAAATGGGTCCCTTAAATAAATTGATCATCTATAGCCTTTCAATGATCATATTGCCCATAATGAGCTATTTTATTTCTGATCATTTTTTCAAAAGTTTTACCACAGATCATTGGTCCAATATTTATTCGGCCATTGTAGCCGTATTGGTTGTACATTGTATACTATTCTCTTTTGTCTATCAGGCTTACAATGAGGATCGTGTCGAAGAACAACGTATTCAGGAGAAGAAAGCCGAATAAAATTGTATGATTTTGATACTTTTTTTTTCAAAAAATCGAATCATTCAAAATTATGTAAAATACGTACAGCACAATTTACAAGAAAAAAATCTCAGTCATTTTATCCAGTCATATTGATGTTTGCATCTATATTGTCATACATTTCAAATCTTTTTTATCTTATGTAATTCCATATATTTTTTCCATTTTACTCCTAATGATAATCAAGATTAAATAATTGTCAAAAAAAAAATTTATTTTTAAAGCTGGCTCCACCTATCGCAAACGATTATAGTTATTCGGAATCGATATATCGATTGTGAGCGATGCTTTGTCAATGTGTGTTTGCGTGTGTGTGTCTGAATTGTTTCCTTTTTCCTTCTTTTCGTATGGTGTGTGTTGTTGCTTTATTGTATCGCGTGTTCGGTCAATTTGTTTATGAATTTGATTAAACAACCAGGTATGTCAAACATTTTCTTTCATCTTCAACAAAGAATTGTTATTGATTGATTTCTGTTTTTGATTGAAAACATTTTTTTTCCTCATTCATTTATTAAGTAAGACATTTTTGTGTGTGTTGAAAAATAATTTTTTCCTACTAATTATATGTGTTTTTTAGTTTGAACAAAACGAAACAAAAAGCAGTAAACGAAAATGGTTAGTACCAAGAAAACACGTGGAGATAAAAAAAGCAAATCCGCTTTAAATGAAGTTATTACCCGTGAATATACTGTTCATCTGCATAAACGATTACATGGCGTTGGCTTTAAGAAACGTGCACCGCGTGCCATCAAAGAGATCAGAAAATTTGCACAAAAACAAATGGCAACCGAAGATGTCCGTATTGATATTCGATTAAATAAATTTATTTGGTCACAAGGTATCAGAAATGTACCGTTTCGTGTTCGTGTACGTTTAGCCAGACGTCGTAATGAAGATGAAGATTCTGTACATAAATTGTACACATTGGTTACATTGGTTCCCATCAGTTCATTCAAAGGACTACAAACGGATAATGTGGATGAATCAAATTAGACATTATTATTTTCTTTTTTTTGTGGTAAAAATTGACCATCCGATAAAATTGATGTAATAAAAGAAATTTTGTTCAACCAAAAACCAGAAATCAATCTTTTAAATTCTTTGTTCCTTATAATTTTTGTTTTGTTTTGTTTGTTTTAATGGTGGTTGTCTTGTTTTCTGAAGTACTTTGGGCAGCTAGGTCCATATTTCGTAATCGTTTTCATAATCAAACGATTTGTCATCAAGAGAATACAATGGATGTACATATTATATCGGCATTAGTAGATAATTATATGTATCTAATTGTGGATAAACAAAGTGGTGATGCAGCGGTTGTTGATCCAGTTGAACCGGATAAAGTTGTTGAATTGATACGATCAATGAAAAATCTAAATCTTCGTACCATATTAACTACACATCATCATTGGGATCATGCTGGTGGTAATAATAAAATGTTACAATTAATACCCGGTTTAACTGTGGTTGGTGGTGAAGATCGTGTTGATGGTGTTGATCATATCGTTAAAAATGGTGATAAATTATCATTAGGTCGTCTTAATATTGAATGTCTTCATACACCATGTCATACACGTGGTCATATTTGTTATAAAATTTCATGCGATAATGATATTTCCGTTTTTACTGGAGATACATTATTCATTGGTGGTTGTGGTAAATTTTTCGAAGGTACTGCTAAACAAATGTATGATGCATTGATTACTATTCTTGGCTCATTACCCGATCATTCCGTAAGTTTCAATTTGTTTCCCTAATCATAAATTTCATTGATTTTATTCATTTCCAAAAGAAAATCTATTGTGGTCATGAATATACATTGAGTAATCTAAAATTTGCCAAACAAGTTGAACCGAATAATCATGATATTGATGAAAAGATTCGTTTTGCTGAAGAATGTCGTCAACAAAATCGACCAACAATACCATCGACCATTGGTGATGAACGACGATATAATCCATTTATGCGTGTAGAAGTAACATCCGTACAACAACATGTAAAGAAAGATGATCCAATCGAAGTGATGGCCGCTCTTCGAAATGAAAAGAATAATTTCAAATCAAAATAATTTCTCCACTATAATAATGATTGATTTCATTTTTAAAATTTGAATAAAATTTTAATTTTTAACGAGAAAAAAAACTCATCACTAGATGGCGATATTATTTGCATCAATGTTGATCTCATGATGTGGACACAGTTAAGTCAGTCATCATCATCATCATCATTGAAAAAAAAGAACTGCGCAACAGCAAATCGTTAAAAAGCTAACATCAGATTGGACATTTATAAACGTTTTTTTCCTCTGTTTTATTTTTTTCAGTAACCACATTTGGCATTGTGAATTGGATATGTAATTTTGTTTTTTGTTTTTTTGCATTTTAATTCATTTCCCGTCGTTGTCATTGTCGATAATTTTTTTTTTGATTCATTATCATCATTTAAAACTGTATAATCACCATCAAACAACAGCAGAAAATCTTTGATTGATTAATTGATTCATTTTTTGTTTAAAATTTTCTGTTGAATATACTTGTCATCCAATAAAATAACTAAGGAGAAAAAAATGGCTGAAATTTTCGATAAAATAATGACTGAAATTGAAAAATTTCTTTCTCAACCTGGTACAAAAGTAAATACCTATATGGAAATGATTGAAAAATCAACTGGTATCAAACGAATGTACATTGCTAAAGGTAATGATAAACATCGTCGTCATCATAATTCAATTCGGTTCTAATTAAATTTTTTCCATTTTAATACAGGTGTCTTGGTTTTCTTGATGATTTACATGATTTTCGGTTATTTTGCCCAATTGATTTGTAATTTTGTTGGTTTCTTATATCCAGCCTATGTTTCGTATGTCTTTTTCGAAAAAAAAATAAATATTTCTTTTATTATATTTTTACTCATTTTTAACAAAATTTAGGATCAAAGCATTAGAAAGTCGTAATAAAGATGATGATACACGTTGGCTAACCTATTGGGTTGTATTTGCCTTTTTCTCCGTTATTGAATTCTTTTCCGATTTTATATTTAGCTGGTTTCCATTCTATTGGCTTGCTAAGGTATGTTTTATCGATGATCACGATAATGATTATAAACATTTATGTACCTAAATTCCAAAAACAAATAGAACTAAATCTTTTTTTTTGCAAAATTATAGGTAGTATTCCTTGTATGGTGTTATTTACCATTGGAAAGAAATGGTTCCGATTATGTATACACTAAATTTATACGACCATTTTTTCTTCAAAATAATTCGGGCATCGATAATATAGCTAAACGTCTTGTGAAAGAAGCAAAAGATGCCAGTAAGTCATTGTTCTTTCCCAAAAACGTTCGAAAAGTTAGGGATTGATTTTTTTGTTTTTTGTTTGTTTTTTGTCTTTTGTTTTTTAATTTTAATTTTTCTTTTGTTTTTTTATTTATTTATTTAATTTTTAATTTAGTTTCATCAAAAAATGAATGAACGTATCTCTAAAACAAATTCATAATTCCATTTGATCAGGATCGAATTATTTTATTTGTTATTATTATTCTGATTACATTCTATACAACCAGTAACAACAACAACAACAATGTCATAGTTTATGTTTTGAAAAAAATACACTTATGAAAATCAAATTCTGTTTCGATTTTAATTCCATTTAATATTTGTTTCCAAAAAAAAGAAAATTATTTCCCTCCTTTTACTGAATTTAATTTACATAAAAAAAATTTTAAAAAATAAAGCCAATTTCTTTATTCTTAAAAAATATTAATCATCAATAATTTTTTTTTGTTGGAAAAACAAACAAACAAATCATAATGAGAGCAATTTATATAATTGTTGATGTAATTGAATCCATTTCTCAATCTTTGGATAAATTCATTATGCAAAAAATTAATAATTTTAAAAAACAAAAAGATATATAATTCACACCCACACAATTGCAATAAAAAAAATGAATATTTTCCATTTGCCAACAACAAAAAAAAAACATTTTATATATCACAATTAACATGCATAATAATAAATTCATCATCACGAGGTAAAGATGAGTCATTTTTTCGTAGGAAACAAATATAATCATTCTTTTTATCATAATTTAATTTAATGATATTAATCATCATCAAATCTATAGACATCTCCAGTTCTTTGTTTGTATCTCTCTCTTCTTTTGGATGTGCGAAAATGGTTGGTTAAAAATGGAATGAATGAATGAATGAATGGTCTTTTCCCTTTAGCGTCATTTTTTTCGCATTTAATCGAAAATAAAATCTTCAAATATTGGCACTTGTTTTTTTTGTTTTGTTTTGTTTTGTTTCTGTTCTCTCATCAATCCGAATCCAATTCATTCTCGTTTCTTTTTTTTCAAATGCAAATTATTCCATGATTGACTAGTCACCAATAACGGTCTTAATATTAAATCATGATAATTTCAACTGAGAATTATTGATAATCGATGATTGTTGTAGATGTTTATCACTAAAACCATAACCACCACTACCACCATTATTACGATAATATTCAGTAATCTGGTTTTTTATATGCAATAGTTTATAATGTAAATAAATAAGTCGTTTTTGTGCACGTTGATATTTGGAACGATTTTTAACTTCATCATATTTTTCAAATATTTGCCGAATTAATTCCTTTGAAAAAAATGAACCAAATCATTAGAATTCATCAAATGAAACAAACAAAAATTTGTATTGATTTTATACTTACATGCCATTCATCGGATTCTTCTTCTTTAGCCTGTATACGTTCTTTTAATTCTTCAAATTGTCGTGCAACACCTTCAACATAATCATAAAGTTTTTTATATTCAGGAAATTCAGCCTCAAAATCACGTCTATATTGAATTAGCTGATTCATGTCCTTGATTTTTGGATATTTACTAAACCAAATAAAAATAGATTAATTTAATTAACAAACTCGGATGAATGAACTTACCTCAGATAATCATCCGAGTCATTATTCTGACTTGAATCCGAACTTGCAACATTACCAATATGACTAATATCTGAATCGGGACTTGAATTCGGGGTCGAATTCATTGAACCAGATCCGTTACCAAAATGCCGTGGATTGTGATTATGATTTGATTGTTGTTGATGATGATGATGATGGCCATTGTTCGATTCTTTAGACATCGATGATGACGATGGTGGTGGTGGTGGTTTACCGTTCATCAACTGACTAATTGCATCAAATTGAGAGCTTGATTTTAAATACGAAGCATGTTGTGAACGAGCAATATCCGGTGATTCATGTTGTAATGGTTGTTCCACGTGATTATTGACTTTATCGAATGGTGAATAGCTTGCTGTTATTGCACTTTGATTATTTAATGTTGATTTTGCTGCAGTGGTGGTTGAACGGCCGATATTATCACTTTTAAATTTTTTCTGTCCTGTTGTAGTTGTCAAAAAATCAGGCCCACTTCGTTTCATTGATGATTTTGCCGTTACAACACCATTAGGATAAGGAGAATGTTTATGAATCGATAAAGTAATTGTTGTCGGTGATGTATTTAGACTGTTTGGTGATGATATACTTCGAGCTGAATGATCAGAAAATGGTGAAATACTGCTGTTATTATTATTAATGTTACCGCCATTTACAGTGATGGAAACATTTGTTGATCCATTACGTTTTTCGGTTTCAAATTGTTGTAATGCTTCTTCAGCAACGGCCAATTCATTCAATTGATAAATACCTTCTTTAAATGTTGCAATCGTGTTTAATATATGTATGATCTGTTGTTTATCGATAGGTAGCTCTTTAAAACGTTCTTGTACTTTAGGAATCAATTCCACTGGCTTATTGCATGATTTGGTCACTAATAATTGTATCAATAAATCACGAACTTTTCGTAAATGTTCAGCTGGTATCGTCGATTTTGATTGGCCATTACTATTATTAGTAAATTTATTGAAACGAACCAATGATGAATTTTTAGTGCCCGCCGTTGTTGATGTCGATGAATTATTATTATTATTATTTGTTCCGGTAAATTTTGTTCCAGCATTTGAAGTATATGGTTTTTTCGCTTTCACTTTACGTCCACTAAATTCAATCACTTTGGTATTATATTTTTTACTTTCCAATTCGGCCGCAACAGCCATTTTCACTTTGGTCTTTTGATATACATCATCATTGGCATGTATCTGCATACGTAACATTATTTTACCCAATGATTCCATCGACATTGATGTTTGCCGTACACATTCCAATATTCCACCATCATTTTGTATATCTTTTATTGAAAAATTAAAACATTGTGCCTTTTTATCATCATCATTTGATGATTGTAGATCATTATTATTCGGTATCGTTATTATCTATTATTCGATTATTATCAAAATTAAAAAAAAAATGATTAGTTTAAGTGGTCAGCCAAAAATATGAAAAATAAAAATTTTAATGAGAAAATCTAATATAAAAAGAGAAAATAAGGTAAGAAACAACAACTTGTTTTCATTTTTGTTGTTGTTGTTGTTTTTGCTTGTTGATATATCAAAAAGAAAACGAAAACAACATGATTATTGAATGGAGAAAATAAAAAAACAAGACATGCAGACAAAGTCGGAAGTATTTTTTTTTCTCGATGATAATTCTCATCGACCAACCGACAACAACTTGTTGCTTCGTTTGCCATTCATCATTCAAAAGGTTTATTATTTTAATAGATTTTTCTCATTTAAAACAATATAACAACAATAAATATACTCTACTTACGCCCTGTGAATTGTTAGGCTGTAGTTCAATCAATGGCTTTTTAATCGTTTGTGATACATTTCCCTGTTGTTTTTTTTTTCATTTGAACGTCGTTGTTTGTTGTGGGGAGGATTTCAGGTCAACATGTCAATGATGATGATGATGATATGATCAAGAAAAATAAAAAATAAAAGAGAAATTAGTTTTCGAAATTGCATCCAGAGCAACAAAATTTTGTATTGCAAAAAAATAAATAATAATAAAAAAATTTCTTGTTTCTGTTTTGTTTTTCCACAAAATCAAAAAAAAAACACTACATACACACGGCAACAGTGAATAAGAAGAAACAAAAAAAATCCATTTCCAATTGATGATTGTCAATCAATATTATCAAAATATAGGTAGAAAACGCGTACAGACACACACAATACTTGATTTCTTTCAATATTATTATAAGCTCTAATCGATCATTGTTTCTGATGATTATTATTATTATTATTATGAAATTGATACTTTTTTAAATTATAAATTTGTTTTTCTTTTTTTAATCACATTTAGGTGATTATTATAAAAAAGATGCACCAGAAAGCAAATACATTACATATTGGATTGAGATGTGTGTGTGTATGACAACATCTAATCTCATAATTTTTTTTTTGTTTCATGATTAGCATCTGTATTTGTTTGCATTGATTGATTGATTAGTTTGTTTTAAAAAAATGATAAACTTACCTTCGAAATGGCCAAAGTATAATCTTCGATTGCTTTCAATGCTGAATCGGTTAGCTTTACAAATACGACTGAATGATTTTTATTCAATTCTAATGATGAATTTAATGCCAATTTTGTTCCTTCAACGATTGTAGTAGCAGCCATTGATATGGATTTTCTTGATTATTTTCAAATTAGTTTTTTTTTTGTTTGAATTTTGAAAACAAAAACAAAAACAATATTTTCACATTTGTGTGTGTGTGTATGGTGGTGGTAAAATTGGTCAACAACAAACAAAAAAAAATAATAAACAAAACAAACAAGAAATAATTAAATCAAAAAAAAAACAACAAACAATTCGAATGTTGTTTAGGATTTGATTTGATTATTGGTTAAGGTTATTGGTGAATGTGTGTTACGTGTATGACTTTGATGATGGATTTCAATCGATGATGATGATGATGATTGAACAGCACAATGGATAAAACAAACAGAAAAAAAAAATGAATCAACAAATCCAATCGTGATTGACGAAATTTTTTTTAATATTTTGTTTGTTTGTTTGCTGAAGAAATGCAAGACACTCAAATACGAAGTGAGAGAGAGAGAAATGCAACAGAAATTTTTTGTTTTTTGTTTTCTGGAAAAAAAATATAACGATTGATCAATAATAGCCAGGACAACGTTTACCATTAAAAGATATTATTATTATTTTTTTTTTGTAATATTTCGATAATGATGATTGGTGATTAGTGAGGGTAAATAAATAAAAATTTTTTCTTCTATAAAATCAAAATTTAAGAAAAGAAAAGAAAAGAAAGAAAAACGTTAATTTTATCCAATTATTTCATCTTTATAATCAAAAAAAAAATCATAATCACCAAAACAGAAATCTCATCATTAAAATGGATTGAAAAATTTTATTTTATTTTTTTTGATGATCATAGCATCTATATGATATCTAAATAATACCACCATCATCAATTATTATTATCATCATCATCGTTATATTTATTCAACAACAACAAAAATTACATTAAAACAAAATAACAAAAATATACTCACACAAACACACACACAAACGTAGAGAGAAAAGATAGATTTGTGGAATGGTAAATATCATCAAAAACGTATGTTATACATATGAGAAAAAACTTGAATTTTTTTTCACCAATAAGTTTTGCTAAATTGTCGTTTATAAATATTCAGATCAACTTTCATATATAAAAAACTGAATCGATGATTTGGTTATTGACAAAAAAAAACCAAATTAATAAATTATAATTGAGGGTTAGAAAACAACACAAAACAGAAACAAAAACCCGAACATCAAGATCCAAAAAATTTTGTTGTTGGAACCTTTTTTTTTTTTTTTTTTTTTTTGCTTCGCTTGGATCCTCTTGTTGCTCACAAATATTATTACTTAAATTATCATCATCAACAACAGCAGCAGCAGCAAAACACAGAGTATATGTACGGAGAATAACAACAACAACAACAAGATCAAAAGCGTTTGAAACAACACGATGATAATGATGCTGTTGTTGTTGTTGTTGTTATTGGGCGCCATACAACTACCATATCCATAGTGGTAGTGGTTCGAAAATTAATTGTTTGTTTTTCTCATTGATAAATTGATTATCTATTCCAATTTACTTTCATTTATGCTACTACTATTTCAGTGATATTCGCATTTTTTTTTTTTTAAAGAGAAAACAAAAATTTTGAAAATAAAAAATTCAAAACTTTTTTTTTTAAACATCCACATCAACAATTTATCTGTTGCATTCAAAAAAAAAAAAANTAATTGTTTGTTTTTCTCATTGATAAATTGATTATCTATTCCAATTTACTTTCATTTATGCTTCTACTATTTCAGTGATATTCGCATTTTTTTTTTTTTTTAAAGAGAAAACAAAAATTTTGAAAATAAAAAAATTCAAAACTTTTTTTTTTAAAAAAAACATCCACATCAACAATTTATCTGTTGCATTCAAAAAAAAAAAAAAAATCTGAAACACAAATGCTGTCTGCGTCTATATAATATGTTTGAACTGGCTATATTCAGTGATATTCATAAATCCGGATTTGTTGTTGTTGTTGTTGT